AGGAAGGGGAATGAAAGGGAAGATTTTTTTTTTTTTAAAGGGGAAGCGAAGGGAGGAAGGGAAATACAACCTTTAAAGCAATCCTTATCACCGTGCCTTAATATCCGAACCTATCTCGTGTGATGACGTCATAACCGGTTAAAATTATCAATATCAATATTATTTATAGATATATATATATATATTTTTTTTTATCCTTTGATTTCGTACGAAACGAAAAAAATAAAAAATAAATTTCCCGTCGTTTTTTCTATTTTTCCTTTTTCCGGTACAAAAAAAAAAAAAAAATGGAAAAAAATGGAAAGAAAAAAAGGAATTCATGTCTTTTATGTAAATCAATCTTTTTCACTTTCATCCTTTTCATTTTTTTTTGTTTTTTTTTTTTTTGTCTTTCTGACAAAAAATTTCCTCGTCGATTATTCTTATTCTTATTTTTGTTTTCCTCGTCAAAGGTTTTTTTTTCCTTTTTTTTTATCCTTTTCCTTTTTTTCCTTTTTTTTATATACTCCATTCGGACCGTTTTTTTTTCTTCTTCTTCTTTTTTTGTTATCGTTATCATTATTACTATCATCATTTCATTATTATTATTATTATTATTATTATTATTATTATTATTATTATTATTATTTTTGAAAGTATAAATTTATCATTCTAGTTAAAATTATGCATTTGTATGAAGAAGAAAAAATAAATAAAATAAATAAATAAACTTTTTCCTCTTTGCTTCCTTCCTTCCGTCCTTCCTTCCAGTTTTTTTTTTTAAATTTAAAACCCCCTCCCCTCCTCCCCTCCCTCTACTTTTTTTTAAATTTTTTTATTTAGCGCTCTTTGTTTTAAACAAAATAAATAATTTTTATTAAATTAATAACTACAAGGTCCGTTCTTTTTTTTTTTAAACAATTAAAAATTAAATCATTTTTATTATTTTTTAACGGAAAATGCGGGGGTGGGAAGAGGGTGAGGGGGGTGTAGGATGAGAGCGGCGGGGCGGCAGATCCATTTAATAAAAATAAAAATAATAATAATAATATCGATAACGACGATGGTCCGACGCGTCGCGATAAAAGTGTAAATAAACAATAGTGAAAGTGTCATTAGATAAATAACACATTTTTTTTTTTTTTTTTTCCTACAAAGGTTTAGGTGTTTTGATGAAAATGAATATTTTTTTTTGAATAAAAATAAAATAGTATTGATAATAATAATAATAATAATTAAAAATAAATAAATAAATAAAAGAAATGGACAAAGTGAGGAGGAAATTATATGAAAAAGAAAAAGAAGAAAAAAGGGAAATTTTGAGATGATATAAAGAAAAAGAAAAAAATTAAATTTTTTTTTTAGCATCAATGTTGGGACTCGGATTATTTTTTCATTTTATTTCTCGGGAGTTTAATTTTCTCTCTCTCTCTCTCTCTCTCTCTCTCTCTTTATTTCTCGTTTTGTTATTGTTTGTTATTGTTTTATTGCTTTTTTTTTTTACTTTTCAATATTTAATTAAAAAACAAAAAAAAAAAAAAAAAAACGAACAAAAACGAACAAAAACAAATAAAAATTTTCTCTTTTTTTTTTTTTTCTTTTTTATTTCTATACGTAATTAACTTAACGGTCAAACGGTTAAAGAATTATTTATTTCCCGTTTTGTTCGATATCATCATCATCATCATCATCATCATCATCATCATCGTCGTCGTCCGAGTCATTCTTTTCTTTGACTTTAGTATTTTTCTTTTGAAATAAATAAAAAGAAAAAAGTTTAAATTACTTTTTTTTCTGTTTTTTTTTTCGTCTTGTTTTAAAAAAGAGTCATTTTAGGTGTGTGACAGCCCCGAGGAAAAACAAAAAAAAAAAAGAAAAACTTTCTAGAAGTTCATTGTCAACAACCTCATTTTACAAAAAAAAAAAAAAACTATAAAACAAAAACTTTTTTTTTCCTCTTTTATTTACTCTCGGTTGTTGTTTCATCAGTTATCAACGTCCAAAATCACGATTAGTTTATAATTATTTAGAAAAAAATTTAAATTCTCTCATTTTTCTCCTAACCGGAAATAAAAATTAAAAATGGCGTCGTCGCACATACGTAAAACAAAAAAATTATCATTTAATATCGAAAATCGAATTATTTGAATAAAACGAACGTGAATTTCAAAATCGATTCAAATAAAAACAATTAATGATAATGATAGTAAAATTTTATTATTATTATTATCATAGGTAATTTTCTTTCATTTTAATAATTAACAAAAGCAGACGAAAATGGTACGAAATTAAAATTCTTTTTTTTTTTAATGAATAATAAGAAAATAACTGAAAAGTTAAATTTTCTTATTTAAATATGAATATTATCTGATCGCCCCGAAATGAGTGAGAGAGAGAGAGAGAGAAAGTGAGTGAGATAATTCAATCTTATTATTATTATTATTATTATTATTATTATTACATTTAAAAAAAAAATTTTCTTTGTAATCGTAAAAAAAAAAAAAAACCCATTAAAAAAATTTTTTTTTTTTAACCTTTTTAAACTTTTTTCAAAGTTTTTCATTTTCAAAAAAAAAAAAAAAAACCGTTAATTTATTATATTTTATAAATACTCTCAGAGTAATAATAATAATAATAATAATCATCGAACGTTATATTCTACTACTGACACGTTTTTATATTTATTTATTCGTGACTTTAAAAAAAAAGTGAAAAATTACTCGTTTTTGAAATAAATATTCGATTTTGTGTTAACACCTGACGGACGGTCGGTCATGTTCAATTAGGGATGAAAGAAATTCATCCCCTTTAATAATGATAATAATAATTTTTTTTTTATTTCCTTTTGTTTTATGTGTTTTTTTTTTGTTTTTATGTTTTCAAGGGGTAATAATCCGTTATTAAGGGTGTGGCACGAAAACGGAAACGTTTGATTTTAACCATCTGTAACTTATATGAATATAATCAAGGGAATCCCCCGAATGAAAAACCAAAAAAAAAACGCCTTTAAAAAAATAACTCACGACGACTATGATGATGATGATAATAATGATGATAATGATAATGATAGTAATAATAATAATAGCAATTCATATTCATCATCGTAAAAGCAAAAAACAAAAAAAAAAAAAAAAAAAAAAAAGGAAAACGAAAAGAGCGTCACGACGAATACATTTTGGCGGCGGCGTTCGAGACGCCATTTTGAAAACGAAAAAAAAAAAAAAAATTTGTTTTCAATCGTATTTTATCGAATTAATACGAATTAATAAATAATAAATTATAAATTTATTTCAATAAATGACAACATTATTATTGTTTATTGTCGCGTTTTTGTCCGGGTCAATTTTATTTGACCCCGCGAACAAACACATAATTGGACGCACATGTGACGACAGAATTATTGAATTACTACCGTCACGTCTCCGCCATTTTTGTTTTTTTTTTTTTTTTTTTTTTTTTTTTTTTGGAGGTGGGGAGTTTTATTTAGCCCTTTCCTCCTCCCCCCTTTTCGAAATGTGAATAAAAATTAAAAACAGATTTTTAGAATTTAATCAATCGAAACTTTTTTCGTTGGAAATTTTCGTTAATCGTCTGCTTTTGGGAGGAAAAGCCTGTTGAACGATTAAAATTTAAATACGTTCGAAACGAATAATAATTCTTTTCCAGTGATAAATAAATAAATATATATATATTTTTTTTTTTCAAATCGAAAAAGTAATAACGTTCAGTAAAAAAAAAAAAAAAAACATGCTGTTGTTGTTGTTGCTGTTGGGAGAAAAAAAAAAAAAAAAAGTAAAAATGGAGCGTTTATTGAAAATGTCGAACGTTTTAGCCATCATCGAACGACAAAAAAAAAAAAAAAAGAATTTCAAATCAATTTTTTTTTTTTAAAGAGATCAATAGTTCATCACCTCATAGTTAAACAAAAAAAAATTCAAATATTTTCATTTCGTTTGTTTCTCCCCCTCCCCACTTCCTCCCGTTTTTCACTTCCGCCCCCCCTTTAAAAAAACAAAAACAAAAAAATTATTTTGAGGTTCTCGGCGGTGCTTTTAAACATAAAAATAAAATGTTTCTTAACCGAAAACTTTTTCCCGTTCTCATACTTGCAAAAATTTTAAAGTTTCTTCTTTTACATCCTCTTCCCCCTCCCTCTCCCCTCCCCTCTCCTTCCTTCCTTCCGGTAACCCGTTTTACTTTGATTCCTTGGGGGGCTCTAGTCATCCAAAGGGGTAAAATCTATATAGTTGCAAACTTTTAGACAATAATTTATTTTCCTTTAAAAAGTCAAAAGTTAATAAATACTTTTTAAAATACTTTTTTCTTTTTTCAAAAACGACGCGCCATTTTTGTTTTTTTTTCCCCTCCCCCTCTTCCTATTTCCGTTTTTTATTATTCATTTATTTATTAGTTCTTTTTCAAAAAAAAAAAAAAAATTTTTTCATTTTTTAATTTGTATGTAAAAATACGGGACTCCTTATTTTGTATACAAAAAGAAAAAAAAGAAAAAAAAAAGGGAAAAAAGAAAAACGTAAAAATAAAAGAAAAATAATAATAATAATAATAATAATAATAATAATAATAATAATAATAATAATAATAAAAGAAAGCTTTCAAATAAAATTATTACTTTCTGTCATATTCAATGTATGCCTCTCCTTAGAAATTTTTCTTTTCCGCCATTTTCAAAGCGCAACAGGAAGTTTTTCCTTTTTTTTTTTTTTTGACAAAAAAACCTTTTTTTACTAATACTACCTTTTTCATTTATTACCCGTCGTTTTTTTTTCTTTTTTTTTTCAAATTCAAATTCAAAACTCTACCTTTTCTTTTTTTTTTTTTTTCTTTTCCTTTTTCAAAATAACTTTTCAACTTATTATTATTATTATTACTATATTTGCTAATACACAAAAATTAAATCGTAATTATATATATATATATTTATTGGTTATGTAAGAAAAGTGAAAAATCATTATTATTAAAAAAAAAAAAAAAACCGGAAACGAATCAATTTTTCTTTCTCTATGACGGCGGAACGTTTTTTTTTTTCTTTTTTTTTCGTTTTTAATAAATTTTATTTCACGTTTTACAAAACATAATCATCAATATTAATTAATTTAATAAAAAAAAAAAAATAATAATAAAAGAAACAAGTAAAAATTAAATATTAATTAATAAATTAATTAATTAATTCATAATTAATGCTACATTTTCAGTGTGTCTATGTTTGAAACTGTTAGAAGTCCGAGTTCCTCAATTGATAGACATAAGGGAAGAAGCCATATTAAAATGTAAATTCGATTTAGAAGGTGATGAATTATATTCCGTTAAATGGTACAAAGAAGAATTAGAATTTTATAGATACATGCCGGATAATAATCCGAAAATATTAACTTTTCCAGTGGATGGCGTTCACGTTCTTGTAAGTTTTCATTTATTTATTTATTTTATTACAAAAAAAAAAAAAAAAATGGGGAAAAAAAATAAACCTCTCTCTCTTTCTCTCTCTCTCCGAATTCGACCATTGATTTTATTTCTCCCCCCCCCCTCTCTCTGTCTTATATTTCCCTCCATCTTAAATAAAAAAAAAAAACTTTTAAAGTCCTCCTCCTCCTCCTTCTTCTCCTTCTTCCCGTTTTTCTTGTTTTTTTTTTTTTATAAAGAAAATTTTTTTTCTTAATTCGAAGGCGAACCCCCCTTAATTGTTCTCAATTAATTAACTTAATTGCAGCCTTGAATTGCAGCTGCGAACTCTTTCGACAAATTAACTCAACCTAATTTAAGAGATTAATCTTCCTTGTGTGTGTGTGTGTGTGTAAACCAATAAGAAAATTTTTCATCTATTGTTCCTTCCCTTTTTTATTAAACTAAACTAAACTAAACTAAAACTAAATATATATTTATATATAGAAAAAAAGGGAATATTGGAATTTAAAAGGGAGTAAAAGAAAAAAGAAAAGGTCAAACAAAAACAATATCGGTTAGATTTGAACGAAACGTTTACAAAAAAAAAAAACAAATTTTCGATATTATTATTATTATTATTATTGTTATTTACCCTTGTTTAAAAATCATTAGAAATTCGATATAATACGTATAAATCTTATTAAAAAAAAAAAAAAAAAAAAAAAAAAACATTTAATTATTTTTTCGGGTATTGATTTTTCCGGGAAGAAGGGTAAACGGAGGAGAGGGAGAGAGAGGGAGGAAGAGGGATAAACATTTTACTCGTTTCCCTTTTTTTTTCATAACGATAACAATATCAAATACAATTAATCCACGTCTCAAACCGTTGACATCATTAATGAAAAAAAGTTCATTAAAAACTAAAAAAAAAAAAAAACTACCCTCCCAAAACCCCTTCCCTCCTCTCCTCCCCTTCCCCTTTCCCTTTCCTACCATAAAAAAAAAAAATTTATTACTTTGAAATGTCCGTTCAAGCAACGAATTTACTCTCTCTCTCTCTCTCTCTCGCAAAAAAAATGTCGATTATTATGAGAATTTTATTATTGTTGTTATTGTTTGTTGTTTGTTGTTTGTTGAAAGGAATCCAAAAGCAATGTAACTGTGATAGCATTAAGTCCATTAGACTATACGACGAGCGGAGTTTATAGATGCGAAGTATCGTCCGAACGTCCTCATTTCAAAACCGTTTACAAAAGTCAAAACATGTCCGTCTTAGGTAAGGCCCCGGAAAAGCCCCGGAAAAATTTTTCTTCGAATTTTCTCCTTTTGATAAAATAATCTAAGGGGAAAAAAAATTTTTTTTTTTTTTTTTCATTTGATTTTTTTTTAGGGCTCCCTAAAACCGGACCCATCATCGAAGGCGTGAAAGAAACTTATTTTTTAGGAGATTATATCACCGGTAATTGTACTTCCTCTCCGTCCAATCCGCCGGCTCAAATTCATTGGTTTATCAACGACAAAAAGGTAAAAAACAGGAAAACGGGAAAAATCAAATCATAAAAAAAAAAAAAAAAAAATCAATAGGAAACACCGGAAACATAAGAAAAATGAGGGGAGGGGGCAGAAAAGGAAACGGTGTATTATGAAATTGAGGGAGTCGAAACGAAAAAAAAAAAAAAAAAAAAAAAAAAAAAAGAAATTAGAAAGAGGAAACTTTGAAAAAGAGCTTACGGTCGAACAATACCGGAAACTTAGTTCAAACATTTTCAATCAACAAAAAAAAAAAAAAAATATATGAAAGCGATGAATATTAAAAAACCTTTTGTTTTTTTCCTCTCTCTTTCTCTCTCTCTCTCTCTTTTTATTTCTTTCATTCGTATTTTTTTTTATTTTTTTGTTAGCTGTAATCTATTTAAAATTAACAAACGTCAAAATAAAATAAAAAAAAAAAAAAAAATCAATTGACAGTAAATAAAAGGAAACAAATAAAAAAAGAAAAAAAAGAAATGACGCAACGAATTTTTTTTTTGTTTTGTTTATGTTTTCCAGGCAGAGGATTGGCTTTTGGAATATTATAATCCGTCTAAAAAAAAAGAAAAATATAATTTAGAATCGAGAGTTTTAGGTTTGAGATTTCAAATCGATATAAATCATTATCAGGGGAAAAGTCAAACGTTATCACTGACGTGTCAAAGTTCGGTCGGTGGTAAAACTAAAACTCAAAGGATAAACGTTAATTTATTAAGAATGATGACGAATCAGAAATTTGCTCAGGAACAAATCAACAGTGGAGGTACGTAGTATGCACACGCTTTTCATTCCACCGCCTTCTTTCCCTTCATCACGTTTTTTTATTTTCTCTATGATGGCGAAAAAAAAAACAATTTTCTTATTTGTTTACATTTTTCATTTGTTTACATTTTTTGTTTTTTAGGGAACGCATTCGGAAGAAATTTAAAAAAATTATTTTCCTTGCTCTTCATTGCATCCTTCATGATATTAATATAAATTTAGTTTTATTATTAATAATAATAATAATAATGATAATGATAATAAGTGAATGTTTATAAAAATAAATAAAAACTAAAATAACTTTATAGTGAATCTAATAATAATAATAATAATAATAATAAAACAAAATAAAACCAAAAAAAATTATTTTAATGTCGTGTACACAATCTATTATTATTATTATTATTAGCAGAAGCAGCCAAATAAATAATAATAATATTATCGTTAAATTTATTTATTCTTTCCTTTTTTCCATTTTTTTCCTTTTTCTTTCTTTCTTTACACATCCCATCTTTAATTATTCGGATAAATTAAAAAAAAAAATTTTTTTTTTTTTTTAAAAAGGTAAAAATTATATACGTATGTACATATTGATTTAAACGAAAAAGGATGAAAGGATGAAAGAAGGAATGAAAGAAAGAAAGAAACTTTCTTTTTTTTTAAATACGGTTTTAAAACGCGTTATACCGTGATACGGCCCTGAAGCGAGGAAAAAAAAAGAAAAAAAAATTTTTTTTTTTTTTTTAATCAAAGTAAAAAAACAACACCGTTAAATAATATTTTTTTTTTTTTTAACCTTTAAAGTTAAAAAAATTACCTTTTATCTAATTTAAAGATTTTAAAATTCAAACGAATATTTTCCTTTTTTTTTTTTTTTCCTTTAATTTTATAATTTAACTAATTTATTTTTAATAATGAATCGGTTTTTGAAGTTTTTACTAAAAAGTTTGAGGTAGAAAGAAAAAGAAAAAGAAAAAGTAAAATAAAAAGAAGAAAAAATAAAATGGAGGGAAAAGAAGGAAAAAGAAGAAAAAAAATTTTTAAAAAAAGATGGAGGAATGGTTGTTGAGTAAAAAAATTTTATTTTATTTTTTTCACGAATAATTTTAAAAAATCTCTATTTATCCTAAAGGGCAGGGGAGGGGGGTGGAGGGGAAAACGAAAAAAAAAAATGCGAAAATGAATATTTCTCACGTCAAAAATGTATTAAAAAGGAAAAAAAACGAAAAAACGAAAAAAAAAAAGGAAAAAAGGAAAAAAAAATTTTTAAACCGAAGGGTTTTGTGTTTGGTTTCCGGTTAAATTTTACGGTCGTAACCGTCGTTTCCGTTTTAACCGTCATTTATCAACATCAAATTTTTTTTTTTTTTTCATTTTTTATTACACGCAAAAAAAAAAAAATTATTCTATTTTTTTTTAATTAAAAAAAATCACAGCAAAAACTTTCGAATCGAACAAAAAAAACATCAACATCATCATCATCATTTGTAATAATAATAATAATAATAATAATATGAAAACATTTTAGTATAAAATCATTTTAATTCGCGAGACGCGATATAAAATTTTTCATTTTATTATTTCTTTGTTAAAAAAAATCCATATCGGAAGGTTTTTATCTCACATAAATTATAAGATGAAAATGACGTGGGGGATTTTAAAACCCTTATGAGAAAGATGGAAAATCGGTAAATTACCCTTCCTTCTTCTTATGATCATCTTACCTAAGCTTCGTGATAATAGCATGTTCGCGTAAAAGCACCTGTTCGCATTAATATGCATTATAATCTTGGGAAGAAAAAAAAAAAAAAATAAGAAATTTCAATAAAAAAAAAAAAAAAAAAGTAAAATTTATCCGAATTTAAACAATTTCAAGGATTTAAATAAAATTTCGAATTTCAAAATTTCATTGATTTACCTCAAACTACTCCCCACCGCTACCATCGCCACTACCACCACCACCACCGCCGCCGCCACGATCAAATTAAATTCCGTTAAAAAACAAAAAAAAAAAAAAAATTTTTTTCTCATTAATAATAATTCGGTAGCCAAAAAAACAAGAAGAAGAAGAAGAAGAAAAAGCAGAAGACGAAAAAAAAATATGTTTAAAAAAAATTTTTTTATTTTTTATGGAAATAACAATCGAGGCATGAAGAAGACAATCAGTTTATCACTTAAATTAATGTAGCGTGGACTGAAATTAGTCAAAAATTAATCTGTACAAAGCGTAACCCAGACGTGAAATCTATGCCCTTATTTTTCCCGTTTTTAAACCCCCCTCCTCCCCTTACGAAATCATCCCTCGTTTCTCTCTTTCTCTTTCACTCTCTCTTTTTAACATCCTCCCGATCCTCTTTCACCCTCCTTCATTTCCAAGTTATACTGACGGTACAGATTAATAAATCGTGGCCAAGGTTTCTCTCTCCCTCTCTTTCTCTCCCCCCTCTCTCTCTTTCTCTTATTCATCCGTTTTCAGCGAGAATATAATATCTCTAGTTTTACATCACGATAACATTAGTAATGAATGAGCCAGAATGAGAGAGAGAGAGAGAGAGAGTGTGAGATTATTCTATGAAAAGGGTTAACACACACACAAAAAAAAAAAAAAAAAAAAGATGGATAGAATGCTTGCGTGCGTTTATGTGCGTGCGTGAGTGCGAGAGAGATAGAGATAGAGAGAGAGAAAGAGAGAAAGTGAAATGAAAAAAAAAAAAAAAAAAAAAAAAAAAAAAAAGAAGGTAAAAAGATTTTATTGCTTTTTTTTCCCCTTTCATTCTTTCTTTCTTTCCTTCTTTTTTTTTCTTCCTTTGCGAAAAATGAAAAAGGAAAATTTTCACAAAGGAAAACAAACAATATTGAGATTTTGCATCTTTCAAAGGTTTTTCTTTTTCTTTTTCTTTTTCTTTCTTTCTTTGTAATTATTACATCTTGGAAAAGAGAAAAATATCGGCAGCGGCGGCCGCCGCCGTCGTTTTTCCCTATTATTTCCTTTGAATTATCATTTTATCTCTTTCCCTCCTTCCTCCCCCTCCCCCCCCCCCTCTCTCTCTCACTTTTACTTTTTTACTTTTTCATTCATTCATTTATTCATTCATTTCTTTTTTCTTTTTTTTTTTTGTACTTGTTTCTTTTCTTTCTCTTGTCAAACGACATTAATAATAAAAGTTATATTTGAAAATGAAAAAAAAAAAAAAAAAAAAAAAAAGGAAAATTTTCAAAATGGAGTTTTTTAGTCCTCCGTTAAGATAATCATCAATGTCTTTTTTTTTTTTTTTTTTTGTTCAAATTCAATATTTAATCAATAGTTTTCATTCATTCATTCATTCTCTTCCTTTTATTTTATTTTATTTTATTTTTTTAATAATCATTTCTTTTCGTTTTATCTTTTGTCAAATTTTTTTTCCATTTTTTTTTTTTTTTTTTTTCTTTTTTGTAACAAAAAAAAAAAAAAAATGGAGGTTTTGATGATATAAAATAAATTTTTTTACGCGGTTTCAAAGTTTGAAGCGTCCTCGTTGTCGTCGTCAACCGAAATCAAAAATTTTTTATTTTATTTTATTTTTTTTTATGTTTTTCCCTTTCATTTTTAACATTTACCATCACATAATTTAAAAAAAAAAAAGGAAAAAAGAAGATTTTGTCATTCGAAACGGAAGGAAACTTTCTAAAACCTTTTTTTTCCCCCCTTTTTCATTTTTTTTTTTTTTTTATTATATTCTTAGGAATCATCATAACTATGAATACGACAACGATGACGACACATTTAAATTTTTTCGTTTCCCGCCAACGCCGCCGCCATTTTGATTTTATACCAACTTAAGAAAAAAAAATTTCTTTTTAAACTCTTCGCCATTTTGTGACACGTGAGCAAGCAGACATGATCGAAATATTTTTCTTTTACCAAAGGTAAGTTAATACAAGTACTCTTTTTTTTTTTTTTTTTTGGTTTTTTTTTGGTTTTTTTTTTTTTTTTTTTGGGGGAGCCGGGGGAAAGGAAAAAAGGGTCGGGGAGAGGAAAAAAAAGGGAAAAATTTCATATTAAATTTTTTTTTTTTTCAAAAACCCAAAAACATGATTTCGTTAAACGTTCATTTTCCCTTATGTACATTATCAAAAATTTTCAAAAAAATTTTCCCGACTTTTTTTTCTTTTTTTTTTATGGAAAAAGGGCACTTCCGGGAACGCGCACACACCCCCCCTGGTTATTATTATTTTTTTTTTTTTAAAAAAAACTTTTTTCAACATTATTATTATTTTAATTTTTTTCTGTCTTTGTTTTTCGTTTTTCTCCTCCCCCTCCCCCTTTTTCTCCTTCCCCTCCCCCTCCCCCTCCCTTTTTTTCTGACCTTCCGTCAGGTTTTTTTTGTTTTTGTTTTTTTTTTTATCGTCTGAAAAAAAAATTAATAAATATTTCAAAGGTGGTGACGTTTTAATGGATTCATGAATACAACAAAATGTTTGAAGAAGCATAAAATTAAAAGAGAGGAAAGAAATAAAAAAAAACTAAAACTAAAACTAAAACTAAAATAGATATTTTTTTTTGGGGGGGGGGAAAGAAAGAAAAAGAAAATTTTTCAGAATTGTGAGTGCATGCGTGTGTGTGTGAGAGAGAGAGAGATAGAGAAAAATCCTTTCGAGTTTTTGCAACAAATTTGCCATTCATCTCCCAATAGAGTGTATAGTTTTCGTGACGAGAGAGAGAAAGGAATAAAAAAAAAAAAAAACCTACTTTTTCTTCTTTCTAGAAAATTCTCATTGTTTTTTAGACTCATGGGAAAAAGAATGAGAGGGAGAGAAAGAGACAGACAAAACGAAATAGAAAAGAGAGAGAGTACAAAAAAAAGGTGGTAAAACGTTTTCCTTTGAGAATTCGAAAGGGAAATTCATTTTTTTTTTTTTTTTCTCGAATATTTTCGACGAGTTGTCACCCAATGGAAATAAAATAGAAGGAGGTAACCACCATCACCATCACCATCACCGTCGAAGTACAATGGATTGAGAAAGAAAAGTCCCAATGGGGTAGAGGGTAAAGTAAGGGGAAGAGAGGGAAGGGAAAAAGAAGAAGAAAGGGCATGAGAAGATGGGGATGAGGGGTGGGGAGGTATGTCGAAAAAATGGGGTCACAGCCAGTGGCAAATTCGATTACTCAGATTATTTGGCTTACATTTCCCAAGGAAGCAGTTTCCTTATGTGTTCAATTCAAAAACTTGCCTCTG